CTCTTTGAAATGTGGACATGCCTTGCTATTCAGTGACTGCATCGCTACTTATTTTTTTGTCTTTTAAACGTGAATGTTTAGAAATAAGGACATACATAGATCGTAGATCTCAGTTCCTTAAAAAATACCATCTTACTTCATTGAACTTGGAAATGTTTGATCCGAAGTCCTCCAAAGGAAACGTTTCTACTAAAACTTGACTTGGGAGAAATGCGTTTACTTGCAGCTCTCCACTGAGCTGTTGGTTCCTGCCCCTTCTCTACCCACCAATGGGCCAAATTTATAACCATTAATATTAACGTTAAAGTATATTTGGTTTTATCCTTTATGGAGGTAAAGTAAGAAAGGCAGAGATATTCCTTTTGAATGATAAGCCCCTTGGTAATCTGATTGAGATTTTGCTTGATCAGAAGCATATAGGGTATGTCTACAAAGTTACAGTTTTTAGTGCTTGATCTTCAATTTTTCTCCCTACCAATACAATGCAAAGAGCACAGACCCAAAGAGATACTGACGAAAGGCTATTGTTCTTTATTCAAGCACGTGAAAGCATCCTGTGTGCCAAATTTGCTGAACCGTTGCAAGTCCTTGCAGTATTGATGTGGGAAGCACTCAGCTTATTCTTGGAACACAGTATGGTAGAGTGGGGAAGAGGCGACTCTGGCGAGGGCAGAGTTGCAGGGTCAGTCTACTTCCTGAAAGGATAGATATTTAATTCAGTTCAGCTTCATTTTTCCAAGAAGCCTGATGCCTACTTGGTTATGTTTCATTGGTCTCTGTTTTGTAGCTTCATTTCCAAATTATGCTTAACCTAGAAACAAGCAAACAAACAAAAACCCCAGAGCTCATTTCCCTATCTGTCCAATTGAGGATAAAAGTCACTGCTACACAGAGGGATTAGCCCTCCAACTATTCAAAGTTTTTATATACATAACCTAACTCCTGAACATCTCCCACAAGCTACCTACACAGATTACCTATTAAAACACCTCTCTCCCTCTCTCTCTCTCTCTCTCTCTCTCTCTCTCTCTCTCTCTCTCTCTCTCTCTCTCTCTCTTTCTCACACACACACACACACACACACACACACACACACACACACATATACCACGCACTGGGGAACAGTAGGTTTTAGGCAATGGCCAATGAATACTGAATTTCCCCTACTCTAGAATCTGGTTGGGTTTTATGATCTAAAAATGTGGTTTGGCAAAAAGCATGATTTTTAAAGCTATATTTTGAAAAGATTGACTCAATGTTGCAAATAATGTTATTGATGGAATCATTTCATTGTTACTTCCTTTCCCAGAAAAGCTGAGAGAGCACAGTGTTCCATCTGACTTTTTCCCCCATTAATAGCCCTTCTATTCAACAAATACTGCCCACATACCAGGAAAGCTTTTTAAAATGGGGATCAAGCTAGACACAGACAGTGGGGATACTTAAGATCATTATACCAAGCCCCGTTAACCAGACCAGCAACTCTATCATTGCTCCCATAGCATTATCTAACCAAATTACAGTCTTTTTTAACACACAGCTCTTTAGTCATTCACTGTCAAAGGCAAAGCTTCCTGCTTTGGTCCCTGTTGTTTTAGCACCAGCCCTCTACCTTTCATTGGAGTTTAATTCCCAGTTAGAATCCAGACCAAACTGATTAGCAAGTCAAGTGACTTGGAGCAGCTTTCATTTTCTTTGACATTCTCCGTTCCCTTTGAGAGAAAGAAGTCAATGAAAGAGATTCATTTAAGGTCTCCCCCATCTCTTGAGCATTGGTTATTAAGACATAAGTAAAATTTGTTTGTCTCATGTCTTTTGGTTAATTGAATAATGTAGTTACTTTTTGAAAGGCATTCATTTTTTGTGATAAAACTTTATTTTTCCTATTGTGACAGCCATATATAAAATGTAAAATTAATAGTTATTAAAGTAATAAAAATCTTCACAATCATATATAGCTCAACAATAGCCACATTTGCCCCAAACACACACACACACACACACACACACACACACACACACACAACTGTGAGTTACAGACACAAAGGCCACAAATTAATCAAAAAGCAAAGAGATTATAAGTGATTATGTTCTTTAAAATTTTACACTCAGCTGACTTCTGGGCAAAAATCTGGTTTGGTTACCATTAAGCAAAAGAACATATGATATATCACTGGTTCTTTGATTAAAGTTCTGATATTGTTGTACAGGTTTATATAACCCTTTGGTCATGATATTTAGAATTTATTAAGTAACAATTTTTCCTTTCAACAAATATTTATTGAACATCTACTGTGTTAGAGGTGGTAAAAAACAAACAAACAAACAAACAAAAAACGGGGGAAATCACTACAATTTCTAAGGGTTATATTGATAAAGAGTGGCATGAAATAAGCAATCCTTATAATCTTTTTAATTTGTGATTTTATAAAGTGATAGACAGTGGGACATCAATTCTTGTCTAGTTATATGCAGACTGCAGCTAAAAGGAAACTTCTTATTTTCTAAATTAATGAGACTTCCTGTATCCTCCTCCTTTCCTCTTATCTGACATTTATGAATTAAATCTGGACCCAGCGAGAGTAATTGAATCGAATGAAAAAGACATTTTTCAGCTAATTGCTTTTTCAGTGTGAGACCCATATAAATGATGCTAAATTTATACCAGCAAGCTCCTACCAGATAATTTCAAAGGCGGGTTGACTCATGCATGAGGCAGGAAGCATTTCAGGAAACCTTTGAAACAGCAGTGGGAATGCAATCACGCTTCTGTTTATAAACAGCCTATCAGAATAGCAAAGCCCTAGTTCCAAGTTTCAAAGGCACTGCCTTGCAGCCCCTAGAAAACAGAAAGGTCATTCTGCCCTCTCACCTTCGCTGGGGTCACAAACCATCAAATCAGCAGGTGGAAAATTGACATCCTCAGAAGTTAACAGGGGACCGCCTATTTAAAAGGTGCCACAAAGTCTTCCATTTCTCCAAACATGGCTTAATCTTTCTCTTTCCAATGGCATCTGCTCCTTCTCTCTCACAGTATTTAGAGCGTCGTTATTGTAGTCCGTGTATAAAATACCAAACTCAAAAGGGAGTACTGGCATGCTTTCAAAGGCAAGGTTTGACTGTCACTTGAAACTGGAACTCTGGATAGATCCTGACCACAACCAGCGCCAAACGTTTAAAGCCTTAATTACTCACTACTCCTGGTTCTAACACAGATTATGACTTCTGATTACATTATTCTTTCTGAAATCTACTATCGTGCGCGAGGGAAACTTAAATGCCTGAGCCAAATGTTCCAGCTTTGCTCAAATAGCACAGCTCATCAGATGTGTTATGTAGCATCGAGTAATTTAATTGACTAAATTTAACTGAATAATCTGCATTTTGAAACCTCGCTAGAATTATGGAAGTGTCAAAGTGGGGTGAGGATGGAATAGAAACTTAATAAGTGACGGTGTCTCCTTGAAACCATAAGTTTCAGCAGAGATGAAAAGCTAAAATGTTACTACAATAGGGAAACATAGATTCATAAATGGCAGCCCAGATTCCAGAAGGGCAATCACAGCGTGGAGACTCCACAGCGCTGGTGGTGCTCAATCTGCTGCCCACCATTCATACCAAGTACATCTTACTATCCAAAAGTCGTCTGATGCTTTCAAAAATAAAAACAGCTGTAACATGCTAAAGAAACTATTTTTGAGAGTTAAACACATTTCATCTTCAAATGACAGACTATTTGTCAGAAGTGGTATGGAAGTAAATGGTAAATATGGAAATAAAGGAGCCCTTTAATACAATATTTTACATGCCAGTGTGCATATTCAGGGTGACTCTTTAAAATAGCATTTTTCTAAATTTCACTTTAACTCTTCTCCTATCTTGCAACCTAGACCATGAGGTTTCCTCTTCCTAACCAATGCAGATCTTTTTTGTGTTGTTTTCTTGTCAGAAATTCAAACTCAGAGAAGCTTGATATGCTCTGGGCGTTTCCCAGTGAGCAGTCCTGGGATTAGTCTAACTGTCCTGTCTGGATAGTAAATGTCATGTCTTGAGCTATGTATCCTGACAATGGTGACTCAGAATGATGGGAAGCAGGACATCCATACAAATTCAAATGAGTTCATTTTCTGCATGCAGTTTTTGTAATCTAATTAACATGTGGCCTGGAATTTCAGTAAATACAGGTGCTTGTTACATTCATGGAAAATGAGGTAATTTCAAGGACTTAAGTCCTGTTGTTGACTACTTTCACTTGTGATAAATATATCACTCTACAGGGTAATTTTTTTAATTTGATACTTTACATTTATAATTCAAGAAAAGCTAGCTCTAGTGTGTCATTTTATTACCTCTCATAAAAATTTCTGGTAGAACTACAGTTTTCAAAGGAATAGAATAAGATTTATTTCAGACAATATTTCTATTCAACACGTTAATGATGCCATTCCTTTCCTGTGTTATTCATTACCACGGTCAGTTCAATAACACATTTTTGTGATGTGTGAGACCAGAAAAATATTTTTAAGATAATGTATATTGATTAGAAGGATTCAAGAGAAGACAAATTTATAGTAGAGATTAGCCTTGCCTTTGTTTAAGTTTACTTATGTGACCTCATAGAATGGTTGCAGTTGTAATTTTGGAATGGATTTTTTGTTAGGTATCTCTCTTTTTCTCTTTTGACTTTCTCCCAATATTTTTTATCTGGATTGGGAGTATCTTAAAAGTTATTTATTAAGGATTATTTAAAAGAAAATTGAATTGGAAAATATCTCTTTAAAAATTATCTAGGAGCCAGGACCGGTTTGGCTCAATGGATAGAGCGTCGGTTTGGGAACTGAAGGGTCCCGGATTCGATTCTGGTCAAGGGCATGTACCTTGGTTGCTGGCATATTCCCAGTAGGGGGCATGCAAGAGGCAGCTGACTGATGACTCTCTCTCATCGATGTTTCTAACTCTCTATCTCTCTCCCTTCCTCTCTGTATAAAATCAATAAAATATATTTTTTAAAAATTATCTAGGAGTTTCTATCACCAGAGATTTCCATCAAGACTTAGTATCACTCTAGGTAAAATCTGAAATTCCCTTCTCAGAGGTCTAGCTTCCTTATTTTTTAAAGAGAGATTAAAATTTCTAACTTTATAGCATAACTTATCCAATTTTGTTCTGCTCCTTTTATGTTGGCAACTAAGCTAGTCTCCTTAGCCATAAATAAAGCCAACCATCTTTAAAACAAAGTCAAAGATCTATATATTACTTTGAAATTTTACTTAAATGTGAAAGAGAAGAAAGAAGTAAAAAACAAAAAACAAAAACACCACCCAAATCTGAATTCACCTGTACAGGAAAACCTAAATAGCTAAATTACCTGAAGTTAGTTTTGTTTGTTTGTATGTTTGTTTGTTTGTGTGGGTTTGTTTGTTTTTTGTTTTTTTGTGTGTGTGTGGGGGTTTGGTTTTTTTTTTTTTTTTTACTCATTTAGTGTTGATCCTTGGGTGATTTATTAATACCAAAACGATATCTGAACTTGATAGACTTTAAATGTTGGCAGTTGGCAAAATCATTTCCTTTGTACCACAATCAAATAAGGTCCACTGTCAAAGTTTACTGACTGAACCTTGATTCATTAGTGCTAGTCATGCCAAAGGGGTATCTCAAAATAGTTTAATCTTTTCAAAGATACTCACAATGGCCAACTGTGTGTGAATGATGGAAAAATTGAGGTTCTTCTATATTCTTTAAATTTTATAGTCCTCAGACTAGAAGAGATCTCCAGGGGTCATCTGGCTCATCCATCTTCTTCCTGGGAGGACTGTCACTCAGGCATGCACAGCAGGAGAGATACCCATCTATTCTTCACATCTCTAGGGAAGGCGGTTTCCTTGGCAACACAATCCAGATCTCTTAGGTTTTTCTCACAATGAGAAAATATCTTGGCCAGTTGTTGTAAGCTAGGCACTTGGCAACAGTTGTGGTGATTTGGGCCATTGTCCTGGGAGACTTAAAGAAAGTTGGATTTCTCCAGCCTTTGATAGTTATTATATTTGATGATTCCACAAGTCTCCTAGGAAACTAGATTTTTAAAAATAAAGATATGGGTATTGAAACAATTATGTCAGGTCAAAAATTATGACCTGCTCTGGAAAATAATAACTTTAGTTAGTTTTGTAGATGTTTTTGTTTTGTTTGTTGTTGGTTTTTTTTTGGGGGGGTAGGTTTTTTTGTTGTTGTTGGTTTGTTTGTTTTTAGTTTTGTTTTATCATCACTGAGATGTCAAGAGACAATTTCAGGAAAAGTGACTGAGAAGTTACAATTACAAAAGTGAGCATTTTTCTACCTTCTTGCCTCTAAATAAATACCTTCTCATTAAACTTTCTTTACCCTAAAATGACAAGCGAGAATCTCATGGTTTTCCACTTCTTCTGGGGAAGTTGGGAGTAGCGGTGGAGAGCCTGATGTGGAATAAAATTACTCCAAAGAATCGCTCACCCTCCGTTTGATCCCAGCCTTTGTTCCCACATTATGTAAACAATAGATGCTTGCCTTCCCAGGGATCAGCAAAAGGATTTCAAAATTTATCATCCTGACAAAGCCTGAAAGCCAAGGGAGGAGTCTTGTAGGATGGTGATCTTTTTCTGATTACATCACTTGACCCAATCACTTTCTGCAGCTAGCTTTCAGAATGTTGTTCCTGTTTTTCTGTTTGCTTAGTTGCTTCCAACGAGGAGTCAGAACTAGCCCACGATAGGAGCACCCCCAAAAAGTTCCTTTCTCCATGGGATTTTTTAAATCTCCCCGACTCGGGTGCTCTTGTGAAACGACAGCCACATCCGGTGGTTGCTCCCCACAAACTACATGAGGGGAAATGACCCTTTTGCTTAAAAAATAAATAAATAAATAAAGCTATAGAATCTTATGTAAAGAAGGTTGAGTGATTTGGCCCATGTTTTAATTGACTTTAGGCAACTCTATGGAAATAAGTCTGAGGCGTAGTTTGTGAAACATGTTTCAAAAGTGTTTGATTGTAAAATAAACGCTAGACATTTACCGTGCAGAAATAGTTTTTTTAAAAATTAAAAACCTGTAGATGATGACTCTGTTCCTGAGAACCTCAGCCTTTATTGTGTCTTAGTAAAGTTGATCTGCTTTCATTTAGTTTATTGCATTTCTGGTGTAATAATAGCCTCTTGAGGTAGAACTATTAATGCATATGTACTGGTTAATGCCTGTTAATGCAGAAAATGGCACTTTGTTATTTCGATGTGTTTTCCTCAGTGTCACAGGGTATATCAACTTGATAGGAAACGATCACTTGACATTGGTCAAAAATGCATTTTCCCCATTTAAAATATATTTGTATAATCCATTGCATAGACAGAGGTCACCTTTTGCAGTATCTTGACCTTGATCATAGTCTTATACATCAACTGTGTCTCCACTTTCCAGCTGCCATAGAAATTTGGGATATTTGCAGATTCTAGTGAAATCTTGTGAGCTGAATGAGATGGTGGATCAAATGATCTAGAGCACCCGGGCGTTATCCTTCAGTCTACGTTAAACTGTGGGACATTGGGAATGAGCTTTACACAAGGGAAGTCTTTTGGGTATTTGGGGGGTTTTTTGTTTGTTTTGTTTTCAATTCAGGAGAGAGGGGAGTAACTTAAAAATTCAGTGAGATAAACTAACTTTTTTTTAACTTTTGACTGGTTTTATCTTTTTGTTGATTTCTGTTATTTTTACTCAATTTAAATAGTCTAATCAAATGGAAAGGTCAGAAGGGGGGGAAATCAAACTACAGTTCACACACACAATCACAATAAGATGTCATGTTATATGTCACAGTTTCTAGACTGATTTCTCTTGTGTATAAGTTATAACATCAAAGATGCCAAAGGGTATATAAAATAAGCTACAATATTATTCAACAGAACTTAACCTGGACCTTATGTTGTAATAATTTATTCATATTAGGTATAATCTTCTGTATTTATATTTTCAGTATTTATTATGAATGACATGGAAATTTGTGTATTTATTGTGGCTTTTTATGGCAATGTGTATATATATATATATATATATATATATATATACACACACACACACACACACACACATATATCACAAACAAGCATTTTTAAGTTTTATCCTTAAGTTTCTTTTATTAGTGGCACTTGTACTATGCTGTACTTTTTATTATATATTGTACAATATCTTGTCCATTTGTTTGCAGCAGAGTAAAACTGGTTTCTAAGTTGTATCTACTGTTGCATTTTGTGTACATCCTTTGTTCTTACATTCTGAGCTGTCACACACATGCTCAAGAAAACCTCCCTCTCTCTGTGTACCAGAGACATTCTTGAAAAGTTGTGAGTGAATCCAGTTCCTGTAAAATGGCTCATCATATTATCATCTCAAAGATGAGTTAACTTTATGATGTTTGATCTCTAAGTGGAGATCAAAATGCTTAATGGCATTTTTCTCCCTCAACTATTCAACTCCTTCATCAAGAAATGATGTATACATAAATACAAGTGCCAGAGAGGAATCCTCCTATGGAAATTAAATTGAGGATGATATTTTTACAAAGACAAATCCAACCCCTTTTAAGTTGTATCCTGTAATTCATCTGTTCAATAGTATTTGTGTTTTGCCTTGCTTAAAGCAGGATCTGTGTGCTTTGGCATTTAGAATACATGTGTACAGATAGAGACATACATATGCCTATCTGTTTAGTAATGCTGACTGAAGGCAATCAAATTGACTTTTATTAGCAGAACGAAGAAAAGAGAAAATGCATATTTACTAATTTTATTACATGCAAATCGCTGTCCTCAAGTAACTAACATCTTACATCTGGACCCTGGATCTATATTTTTGACAGTTAAATAGTAATATGTGGTTGTGTGATTATCCCAAAACTCAAATTTGATCATGTTGATCACTTACTTACAAACTCTTCTGTGGTATTTCCTTATTGCCAATAAGATAAAATCCAAACTCTTTGGAATGTCCCACCAGCTCTGGGTACAGCAAACCTCTGTAGCTTTGTTTTGCTTATCAAACTCTCACTGCCTCCCATGGCCTCCCTTACCCGCAGAAAAGACTGTTTAGACGCTGCCTGCTGCTCCATTCTTCTCTGCTTCTGTTTAGCATGTCCCCTTTGCTCAGAACACACACCTTATAACTCCATTCTTACAGCACAATTCTAATGATCAGCTATTTATATTTCAAGAGAAAACTCAAATGTCATTTTAGGTTCCTTTCTAATTCTCCTGAAATGGATTGCCTGCTCTTTTATGCCCAATCTGAAGGCATTTATTAGACCCTCTCTAGGTCTCACTGCATACACTTACGTATGTGTCTACTCCCCTCCGAAGGACTCCCTGAGAACAGAAAATGTGTCTTGTTACTCTCTGTATTGTCCTCCAGCTTAGTGCCTGGAACATGATAGATGCTTAAAACATGTTTACTGATATATATGCAGTACAGAAATGAGGGGTGCATTTGCAGGAGTGCAGATGAGGGACAGATGGCTGGCTGAAAGAGGGCAGAGGATGTCAGAGGGAAGGAGAATTTCCGCTGATAGGGGACATTCATATTCGACATGATGGGATGGTGTGAGGAAATGCTGAGTCACCATTAAGTCACCCTCTTCTGTGTAGGATACGAGGAGGTTGCTAGGAGCAGATGATTTACCTTTGGAAACAAATGAGCCATCAGCTGAGGAGAATCTATTCAAATGTTGTAGAGCTTTAAAGAACCAGTCCAAAGAGTCTGCCTTATATCCTTAGAGAACTACAAATACCCTGAAAGTATTAGAAGAGGAAGTCCAGCCAATCAAGAGTGACGTTTAGCTGTATGGAATCTGATTGCAGTACACAGACAATTTGGGGGAAGATGGGATTTCCAAAGTAAAAATCCTCTGATTGCAATCACTATTCATGAAAAAGATAATTGTCCAGGTCCTACTCTGTTTAGGACACTATGCTAGAGAACCAGAGTACTGCAGTGAACAAAACAGAGAGATAAGCAAGTGTAGGGGTCTAGGTGACTATGGCAAAAAAAAAAAAAAAAAAAAAAAAAAAAAAGGTCAGCTATTGGAAGGCCTACTTAAGTGGGAGAGATGAAAAGTAACAAGATTATGAGCTTAAAATAGGCATGGGGAAGGAGTTAACATAAAGATATATCATTAGAGTTGATGCTAGAATACATAATAAAAACAATGGACTGAAAGAAATGTGAGTCCTAGCTGGTTTTGTTCAATGGATAGAGCATCGGCCTGTGGACTAAGGTGTTCCAGGTTCGATTCCGTCAAAGGCACCTGCCCAGGTGGCAAACTGGATCCCCAGTGTGGGGCATGCAGGAGGCAGCCAATCAATGATTCTCTCTCATCATTGATGTTTGTATCTCTCTCTCCCTCTCCTTTTCTCTCTGAAATCAGTAAAAATATATATATATTTTTTTTAAAAAAAGTGAGGAGCTTAGATAAGGATATAAGACTTGTAGTGAGTGAGTATTTTAAGAGGAGACTATAAAGATAGAGAGCATAAGGTAGGGAAATGAATCTTTGAAACCTGCCTTCTTCAGAAGAAAATGCTGAAGAGGAGTCTATCAAGCAGGATATTGGTTAGGAATCAATACTGTGGAAGCTGGGAGAGGGAGAAATCATGCTGTGATGCAGACCCAACAAGCCGCACCAGGCCATCCCTGCCTAGGTGATCTGGAGCATAAAGGGTCTTAATAGCCACCCCATGGTCAGTCCTGGGATTCCATCCACCACACGAAGGGAGTGCTCTCCGGGGAGTCGAGGCTCTGCAGTAGAGGAAGTACCTGGACAAAGCTGAGAGCTGGAGGCTGTTTGCTGACAGCGCTCTCAGAAGCCAGGAAAGTCCTTTCTTGAAGGGAACTCTGGAAGGTGGCACCACTCCGTGTCTTCCACAGCCCATCCCTCCATCCACTTCTTCATCTAAATTTCATGGAGAAGGCCCTCAGGGTTCCGGAAAACTTAGGAAGGCTTGGTTAGTAGAACGCCAGCCAATCTTAGAACCACAACGGATACTCATCATCTCATCTTTCACCATAAATTCTACATTCTTCTCAGCCTCAACAACTGCGCTCACATCAACTGGCTTACGTTGTGGTATGGCCCAGACCCAAGAGGCATCTAAGTGGATATTTCTTCCCATTCCCATTGTCCAACAGTAGACCCAGTTACCTCTAACAAAACGGTGACTCTTCTCTGTGCCTAAAATGCAGAGGGAGCAGGCCTAAGCCCGCAGTCAGACAACCTTAACACTGCTGCAAAGGTAGGAGAGGCTCCTACTACCACCACTGCACTTGCCAGCCATGAGCCCAGCTTCTGGATGAGCAGAGCTCCTCCTGTGGGAGTGCATTGACAACCAGGGGTCAGCTTCTGCATTGAGCATCTGCCCCTTGTTGGTCAGTGTGTGTCATAGTGACCAGTTGTTCAGCCATTCATTCTATTTGCTTATTAGCCTTTTATATATATATATATATATATATATATATATATTCACATAGATAGATTAGATAGATAGATAGATAGATAGATAGATAGATAAGATAGATTTTTTAGAGAGAAAGGTGAGAGATAAAGAGAGGGAAACATCAATTGGCAGCCTCCTACACGCCACCTACTGGGGATTGAGCCTGCAACCCGGGCATGTATCCTGACCAGAAAATCAAACCATGATCTCCTTGTTCATCAGCCAACAGTTAATCACTGTGCTACACCAGCTGGATGCGAGCCTATATGTGTGTGTGTGTGTATGTCTCTGTGTGTGTGTGTGTGTGTGTGTGTGTGTGTGTGTGTATTCTAACAGAGCCACACAAAGAGAATGATTAGGTCTACTAACAACACTCTGCCCATTTTAACGTTTTCCCTAGCCACTGTCTTTTAAAGCTACCCCTAAGTGAGGCTGCAGAGCAGTAGCCACCCATTTTTGGCTGCGTTGCATCCACTTACCAAAGAAAATTAGTGTTTCCTCCTCTGCATTCGCTGGCATAGGGAATGCTTCATGTGGAGTGGGGGGTGAGCAGAGGGAAAGGTGCTGCTCCAAGGGTGGTGGATGACATGGAAACGGGGCTACCCGTTAGAGTAACTTCCTGTGTCTTCCAGCCCTGTGGGTGCTCAATCCCAGTTTTTCTACTTCTGTCTTACAGCACAGTGCTGCCAGCCCTGTCTTCTCTTCTGATTTAGCAGCTTTGTTAGAACCCAGCCTGTGGTGCACGCTTTCAGAGGCATGGTCACTGGCATCCCACATTCAGGCACTCGGTCTCTCCAAGGCCTCTTGGAGAGGCCTCCTAACATATGTGGAGCTGTTTTTCAAACGGCGTAGACATTGCTGATAAAAACCGCAATGCCTGGATCTCAGGGCCTCTGTGTGATTCTACAATTGGCACTTGCCATAACCTCCACACGGCATCTTTTGCCACCACCGGGACCTTAAATGCCATAGTCTGAGGGTCAGGTGGCCTAATCAGAAGGGCTTTGAATACTGCAGCCAAGACCTGCTCCATCTACTCCATCTTCCTCTCAAAGCTGGCAGTCTTGCCGAGACCGGTTTGGCTCAATGGATAGAGCATCGGCTTGGGGACTGAAGGGTCCCGGGTTCGATTCTGGTCAAGGGCATGTACCTTGGTTGCGGGCATATCCCCAGTAGGGGGTGTGCAAGAGGCAGCTGATCGATGACTCTCCCTCATCGATGTTTCTAACTCTCTATCTCTCTCCCTTCCACTCTGTACAAAATCAATAAAAAT